GGGTCTCTGGGGCCACAGGCATGACCATCCGTGAGGTAGCACTGAGGTGGCGTGTGCGGAATGGGACAGAAAAGCTCTGCAGGAGGACCATGTTGCATCTCTCAGCCCCGGGCAGCAACAGGCAGAAGGTGAAGGGGGCCTCAATGGCGTGGTTGAAGCCCAGAGGCTTCAAGGAGGAGGTGACGTGGGAGCACGGTGGGTCCCAGGTCTCTGCTGAGCTTGTGTGCATGTTTTGTGAGGTATGGAGGGGTGGTAGGGGGAGCCCAAATGGAGGTGGGAGGAAGCCTAGAAGAGATAGGCAGCATGAGGGTTGGGAGAGAGGAAATGTGGCTGAAATAGGTCATTTTCTGGGATGTTATTAGAAATAAGGCTGGCAACGAAAAACAGGAAAATGGCATGTGTGATCAGAGAGAGGGACTTTGTCCCCTCCTCTGCACATGATCAGAATGGCTTGCTTTTCACCTCTTTCACATATAGGTGTCTCCTGGTATACGAGTCAGCTACTGCCGTGCAACAAACCACCCGGAAGCTCAGTGGCATTCAACAACGAGCATTGATTTCTCACACAGGGTCCCGTCGGCTTCGGCTGACCTGGGCTGGGCTGGGCTCCATGCTGAAGGCTTTTCCCTGGACTGCTGTGGGCCTCTCTCATCCTCTCTGGGCTTGGCTCCCCAAGGCGTATTCCCACTGACAGCAGAAGTACAGGTGAGGAAGCCCCAGCTTACACTGGGCCCACGCGCATTGCATTGGCTACAGCAAGTCGCACGGCCATGTCCAGCATAACTGGGGTGAGGAAAGGAGGTACACGCGGTTGTGGCGATAGTTACCCTTGGCTTACAGGATGGCGGGGAGAAAGTGGCTATTTCCTGGGCAGTAAACTCATCTATTCACCCAGTAAGCTTTTTCACAAAAGGATTTTTTTTCCCCTAGAAAAACAAAGAGCACTGGTTGGCATGATGGCATTCTACAACCTCCCTGGAGCATCATCTCAGGACCCCAGCCTGTACCTTGAATGCCCCTTAATCACCTTGTAGCTGCCATCCATCCCCAGCCTCGCGGTGCTCCCCCTGACTCTCTCGCTGCCCCCCATGCTGGCAGAGAAGGACATTGGCAAGACCTGACGTTTGAACCTGGACCAGACCACACCGGCAAGTTATCAGGAGACAGAGCTTAAAAGAGAAGAAGCCATCTAAGGTCAAATGCTGATTCTGCCATTTCATGACCAGGAGCAGGTTCTTTAACCTCTTTAAGCCTCAGGTTCACTGTGCATAAAATGGGCCTAATCCTGGTAATTTTTCTTTTTCTTTCTTTCTTTCTTTTTTTTTTTTTTTTTGAGATGGGGGTCTAGCTCTTGCTGCCCAGTCTGGAATGTAATGGCGCGATCTCAGCTCACCGCAAGCTTCGCCTCCTGGGTTCAAGGGATTCTGCTGCCTCAGCCTCCCAAGTAGCTAGGATTACAGGCATGTGCCACCACTCCTGGCTAATCTTTTTTGTATTTTTAGTAGAGACCGGGTTTCTCCATGCTAGTCAGGCTAGTTTTGAACTCCTGATCTCAGGTGATCCACCTGCCTCGGCCTCCCAAAGTGCTGGGATTTCTGGCATGAGTCACCGTGCCAAGCCAATCCTAGTAATTTTTCCTTGGAGTTTTTGTGAGGTTAAGAATATGAAAATAAAACCCTTAGCCCATTGTAAGAGCTAAGTAACTGTTAGCTGTTATGATGCCAAGGTGCTTTTCCAGAGATGAGGATATAGCAGTTACACCCTTGCAGAAGCACCCCTGTACCTGTAAGCCCAGGGAAGAATATTTTCTGCGATGCTAGCATTCAGCCCTCAAGCTGACTGCCTTCCAGGGGCTGCCAAAACCACTCTCATCCTCTTAGCCCAGAGCACTGACCCCAGAGCACCTTGGATGGCTTAGCCACACGTCAAAGAAGCCTTTCCACGGATGCTGGCCACTCATCCAAAGGCAGAACCTCGAACATCATGTCCCTGTCTGGAGCTGCCCCTTTCTGTGAGCATGAGCCATCTGGTCTCAGCTTAGGAGGAGAAAAGCTGCCCACGGTCTGCCTGGCACCCACTGGGGCACTGTGGGCAATGTGGCTGGCATGCTGAAGTGAGCAGCGAGTCTGCATGCCCAGCCCGTCGCAGCTCAAACCTGCTGGCGCACTGCAGTAAAACCGCCTTCGACTTAATATATGCTAATTAGATTTTAATGGGATTCAGATTTCCAACAGTAGTGCAGTGTTAGCCAGGATAAGTTATAATCATATCTAATTGGTAATTCTAACATAACAAATTTCTTGGATAAATTATTCTTAGTTAATAGTCCCCCAGAAACAACCTCAACACGTGGGTGCCCACACACACACACTCACACACACATGCACAATCACACACATATATATTTTAGGGAAAAAGAACAAGGTGGAAGCAGGTTCACAGCAAGGCAAAGTTATTATTTGAAACCTGGGCTCTTCAGAAGCTAAACCAGAGCCCCAGACTAAACCCCTTAAAGTTCTTAGAATCCAGAACAGGGTTCAGAACACCGGAGCCTGGTCATGATGGCACATGTGGCACAGCTGGGGCTGTGTCTTGGAGGGTGGGCTATGTTCTCTGGCAGAAGGTTCTCCTCCCCAGGAGGTGGCAGCAGGAGGGGCCACCAGGCTCAGAAGTCAACCCCTACTTGGGACACGGTCCCTCTCCCTGGGGGAGGCCTGCTGTGATTAAGGTAGCTCCCTCCCTCCCTGCCTGGGTCGCCCTGGAATTCTTCCCTTGCCTAAGTTCCACACTCAGAAGAGGTAAAGAGGGGACCCACTGGCTACATTACTATTTTCTTTACTGGGCAGACAACAGAGTGTAAATTCCAGAAAAAGGGGTGGGGGACAACCCGCCTGGCATCCTGCCCTTGCTTTGCCACTACCTGGCAAACCTACCTGGCCACCACCTGGAATAAACCAGGTACAACCCGAGCTCGGGGCCTCTGTTTTCCCAGCTGTAACATGAGTTGAAGCTCAACAGGCTTTTTTGCTTTTGGTGGAAAGAAGAGGTCTCCTTTCTGGTACCGGAGTGAAGGTATGGACCCTACAAAGCGGACAGATGGTCTGGGAAGGTACCAAGCGGGCCTGCCCTGGGCATCCAAGGAGAAGGTTCTCTCCTTTCTCTGTCAAGTCACTCTCTGCCCTCCTAAAGCTGCCACTGGCCACAGGAGAGTGTGGCTCTCTGCCTGCCCTCCTGCTGCCAGGACTTCAGGCTTGTCTCCCCAGAGGGTCGGTGAGGTGGCCGTGTGCAGAGAGCGTCATCAGTTGAAGGCACGGAGGTAGGAGATGCGTTTAAAAAGCATGAGATTCTCACCTGCACTCCCCGCTTACCAGCTGTGTAATTCTAGGCATGTCCTTTACTCCCCTTGGGGCCATTTCTTGTGTCATTACTTGAGTACAATAATACCTTCTTATATGATTGTTGGGTGGACCCCGGGAAGCAACCTTGCGAAGAATCTTATTACATGTAAGTTTCTCCTTTGTTCTTTTCCTTTTCCTCCATTCCCCTCCCTTTATATGGGATGATCTGGGGGCACAGAATGACTTTGGGGGAAGGGCAGGCAGCCCCATGAGATCCCTTTCAGCCAGTATTCAAGATGGAGATTACTGTTAACATCTGGTGCCAAGTGCGTAGTAATGACAAGGAACGTTTGTTGAGCATATAGTATATGCAGACACGTTTCGAAGTATTTTATATGCATTCTGATCGGCTCTCAGAGCAGCATTAAGAGGTGGGCATGACTGTGATCCTCATGATTTAGACAGATAGGTCACGTGAGCACAGAGAGGTTATGTAAGTGACCTGAAGTCACACAGCTAGTCAACCGCTAACCAAAAATTTGAACCCAGGGGAGTTTGGCTCTAGAGTTCAGTTCTTAAAACACTGCATGGTGCTGCCTCTTGAGCTCAAGATCATTAGAATACTTAGAAAACCATCTGCCCTGGGAAAGCTTCCAGGAGAAAGGAGGAAAGGGAACCAATATTTACGGAGTGCCTGGCCTACACCTGACCCTGTGCTGGGCTTCTCACCCGTGGAGGCAAAATTACCTGGTGCATTAAGCCTAGGTCCAGATCCCAGCTCTAGGACTTACTTGCTGTATGATGAGGTGCAAGTTACAAAACCTCTCTAAGCCTCTGTTTCTTTATTTGTAAAATAGAGATAATGCTTCCTCTATTGAAAGGCTATGATAAAGATCAAACAAGACGATTCGTGCAAAGTGCTTCGCACAGTGCCCGGCACATAGAGAGTGTCTGGTGAGTGATGAATTCCTACATTTATAAACATTGTTACTGATGTAAATCCTTACATGTGTGTGAATATCCCCATCTTGTAGCGGGAAAACTGAGTTCCAAAGGTTAAGCGACGCAGAAGATCCCACAGTGGGAACGTGGCGAAGTTGCACGCTCTTTCAAAGTCTTTCAAAGCCCCGGCTCTCACTGTTGCTGGGTGAGCTTAGAGAGCCGTCCTCTGCAGCTCTGCAGGTGCACTGCCATTGGGCTCCAGCAGACGCCTCCTGCCCACCCACCACCTTTCAGCCCTGACTGGCCTCTTCATTAAAATGAAGACTATTCCCAGATGGGTGAAGTCAGCCACCTGCGCTGGGAGAGGAGCTCTGAGAGCATCCCCAGGCCTTGGCTTGGGGTCACCTCCAGGGTCCGGAGTGGATTCCTTGGGCCTTTGAGCATCGGGCTCACTGAATGGTCTCTGTTTTTGCTTCTCTTCCTGCACAGCGGTTCTGTTCAGGCCACTATAACAAAATACCATAAACTGGGCGACAGCAGGAATCTATTTCTCATGGTTCTGAAGGCAATGGCAGATTTAGTGTCTGGTGAGGGTCCACTTCCTAGATGTCTTTTCAAGGTAACCTCACATGGCAGAAGGGGCAAAGGACCTCTCTGGAACGTTTTTTGTGAGGGCGCTAATCCCACGTATGATAGCTCTGCCTCCATGATCTAATCACCTCCCAAGGGTCCCGCCTCCTAATCCCATCACCTCGAGGGTTAGAATTTCAACATCGGACCATGGTGCCAGTCTGTGGGCAGTGTTGGCCCCATCCCTCTACTCCAAGATCTTTCTCTCTCTCACCTCGGGATTTCCAAGGGGGAAATGGCTGCCTAGGAGGCTTAAAGACTCAGTCTAGCAGAGGCTGTCCCTGCCCCACCTCCGTCCTCAAAGCCCACTAAGGGTCTCCTGCAGTTTACCATGCTGTGGCTCTCTCCCAGGGACTTTCTCTGTTTGGTTGCAGGCAGGGGAATTAATGCTGCAGTGATTCCAGCTTCCTGGTTCCTTAGTGGTGCCAGTCTGAGGTGTATGCAATGCAGAATCTCGAGGATCCCTTTGCCCAGGTCAGGCACACCCCGTGTGAGCTTTCTTCCTTCCTCTACCCTTTTGCCTGTGTCACTGTGCTTCCTGGATCTCCTCCCAAATGAACCATTTGCACCCAGATCCCTATCTCAGGGTCTACCTTAGGAGGAACCGTAACTAAGACCCTCAGCCACTCGAACATCAGGTTACGTGTGTTCGGTGCAGTGGGAAAGAGTGTGGGTTCTTCGTCTAGGCGGATGGGAGGTGCTGACCGCAGCACTGTGTTGTAGGCGGTGTGGTCTTAAGCAAATGACTTCCCTCTGGGAGCCTCCACCTGCTCACCTTCAGGGTAGGGGCCATCTGTTTTTACAGGCAGTTAGGCAAAGTGCCTGGCCAATGGCTGATGCTTAACAAATATGAATTCTTGTTTTCAAGGCAGATGATCCCAAATTGTCTTCCCTCTTAAGCTCCTGGCCTGCTGGACAATGGCGTGGAATGTCCCTTCTTCCCCTTGAGATTGGCTTGTCCAGACTCCAACTAATCACCACCATTCCCCTGTGTTCCCACTCCTAGTTCTTTTCTTTTCTTTTTTTGAGACTCTGTCACCCAGGCTGGAGTGCAGTGGCATGATCTTGGCTCACTGCAACCTCCACCTCCCCGGTTCAAGCAATTCTTCTGTCTCGGCCTCCTGAGTAGCTGGGACTACAGAAGGCTGCTACCACATCCAGCTAATTTTTACATTTTTAGTACAGACGGGCTTCACCAAGTTGGCCAGGCTGGTCTTCAACTCTTGACCTCAAATGATCCACCCACTTCGGCCTCCCAAAGTGTTGAGATGACAGGCATGAGCCACTAGCCTCGCCCCATTTCTGGTTCTTTATCCCATCTCTCTGTGCAGGCCCAGGGCTCTGGCTTCTTATCACCTCCACGATCACACAACTTCCATTCCCAGAGGGCTGGGAGCTTCCCTCTGAAGCTGCCTTCCTCCAGCCCCATTGTCTGGCAGCCCTGCTCGCTGGAATCTGTCCTGGCACACAGTGGGTATCTGTGCCGGGGAGAGTCACTTAGCCTCTCTGAGCATTACCCTCCACAGTTGGAGAAGGGGGAGCAGGGACGTTCTGCAGAATAAAGCCCCAGCACAGCGTGCAGCAGACAGGTCAGGGCTGGTGCACCCTAGGGCCCTCCCCGTCCAGCCACCGCTGACCTTGACAGCGTCTCTCACCCTAACCACTTAAGTAAGCTTCTAACTGGGCTCCCCAGGCCAGGAGCAGACTTCTCCAACTCGAGTGAGCCCTTGTGAAGAGGCAGCTTCTGTTTCAGCAGGTCCAGGGTGGCGCCTGAGGTCCTGCATTTTGATCAGGCTCCCAGGGAATGAGGCCACTGCCGGTCCCGGGACTGCGCACTGAGTGGGAGGATCTGGAACATCCTTGCTCCACTTTGCTTCCCAGCATCTTCTGTGACTCTGAGGCTTTCGCCCCCTTCGCCCTATTGTACGATATCGATGACGATAGCTCACACTTACTGAACGCTTACATGTGCCAGGCACTGTTCTAAGAACATTCCACATCTTCATTTATTTAATTCTCCAAGGTGAATGCCATGGACCTCAGTGTCCCCATTTTACAGAAGAGGAAATAGAGGCACGGGGAAGTTAGTGAAGTGCTGAAGTCATGGAAACGTTGAGTGACAGAGCTGACAGTGCCTTCAGACGCACACGTGATCACTCTGCCATGGGTCCCCATGTGTGATCGCTCTGCCATGCTCCTCTTAAAGCAGAAGCCCCGTTCCCTCAGCCTAGGCTTTAAAGGATTTCAGGAAGGGCTTTTCCTGTGGCCAGAAAAAGAAGGTCCCTGGAGGAGGTTGACTTTGGGAGGCTGGAGGGAGAAGCAGTTTAGAGAAAGACTGCTGTAAGGAGCTTTCGTCTGTGGCTCTGGGAACTTCAGGCCCAATGGTGAAAGAGGCAGGAGGGTATGAGGCCCGGGGCTGGGGACTACCAGGGCCCCTTGTGAGCTGGCAGCTGCTGGGATAGGATGGGAGGAAAGAGGGGGAAGAGCAGAGGATGGTACAGGGGAAGCGGCTATGGAAGCCGAGCCCCAAGGTCAGGTGCAGCCAGCGGCCAGGCTCCACAGTGCCTGCTGACATTTAGGCCTGTCGCCCCACTTGAAAAAAGGCATGCATTTTGCACATCTATTTCCTTCCACCCATCACTCCTGACTGTCATTCCCTGGAGGAGGCTAAGGGCGTAATCACTGATGCCACAGCTTAAATGCTTTTTGGAAAACTTCCCCACTCTGGCCTGGTCTGTGGCTCCAGGGCGGGGTTCAAGGACCGGTCTCTTTCTCCTCACTGTCTCTCTCCTCTCACTGCCTTTGTCTCTGCTTCCAGACTTGCTCCCCCACTCTCGCTCTGACCTCTCTTCCCCTCTTCTCTCTGTTTCTCTCTGCACTCTGCGTGTCTCTGTCTCTGTGTCTCTGTTTCTCTGTCTCTGTCCCTCTCTCTCTGTATGTCCTCTGTACTCTGTCCCCTCTGTCTCTATACTATGTCTCTCTCTGTCTCTGTATGTCCTCTGTCACTCCATCTCTGAGCATCTCTGTCTCTGTGTGTGTCTCTGTCCCTATCTCTTTATGTCCTCTGTACTCTGTCCCCCTCTGTCTCTGTGTGTCTCTGTATGTCCTCTGTCTCTGTCACTGTCTCTGAGTTTCTCTGTCTCTCTATCTCTGCCTCATTTCTGTTCACTTCCTGCTTCTCTAATTTTCTCTCTGCCTCATTCATTGCTGGCCTTTGCCTCTTTCTGCTTTTTTCAGAACCCCTCCCCCAAGTGACTCCCCTTCTCTGCCCCTTCCATCCAATCTCCACATCCTTGGAGAAGCCTCCCATCTCCCTGGATCTCTGAGCCTCCCGTGGCTGACCACCCCTCTTCTCTCTCCCTCCGCTCCCCGACCTCTCCTCGCATCCTCTTTCTCAGCTCCCCTCCCCCTCCCTTTCCCTCTGTCCAGGCTCCTCCTTCCCCTCCTCTCCCTCTGATTCTCCTTCTCATCATTATCTTCTCCTTGCCTCTGGCTTTCATTTTCATAGACACTGCAGTGCTTTGGAGGGAGTCAGCCACTGACCCCGGCCCACCCTCCTCCCTGCCTCTGTCCCAGAAAGGTGCAAGTTCACATTTGGGGGTCTCTCTGGGGCTGCTGCCTCCCGTGGGCAAGAGTAGAGCCCAGGGGTCCTTGTTTTTGTTTTCTCAGCTTTGTTTACACGTGTGCATTTAATAAAACCTATAGCTTTTTTGAGGTCAGGATAGTAAATCTGAAAACCCTGTGTCACTGTCTTGTGAGGGCAGCCAGGGCCTGTTGCATAGGAGCCACAGTTCACTGCCCTGTGTCTCCCTGCAGAAAAGGGAACCATGGCCCAAGATGGAGCTGGCTGCTGGGTCACAGTCACCTCTCAGGGACAAGGCCTCCAGATCCTCTCCTGCTTGGCCAAGAGCCCAGGCCAGGGTGTAAGCAAGAGGAATAAAGGTCTCCAGTCTGCAGAGGTGAGAGGGCCAGAGCAGCAAGTGACTCCCCTTGGGCCCCAGAAACACAGTGCCCCAAGGCTGTGGAAAAGATGCGACTGTAGACTTTGCTTCTCTCCCAGGCTCCTGGGCAAATGGACCAGCACAGAGCCAGCGCCAGCCCTCCTCCCTGGAAGGGGCAGCAACAGGATGAGGGGCGTGGCTTCCCGACCTCCTGTGTCCAGAGTGATGGGGAGGACCCCAGATGTTCACCCTTGAAGAGCCCAGGCCAGAGGAAAGATGGGCCCATCTTAGAGCCACCACACACAAGCATGCTAAGTAGCAGCTGTGGACACTTCTTGCTGATGAGCCGAACTCTCAGGGCTGATTGCCCAGGAGGTGGGGGCTGATTCCTGGGCTGCTGCAGTGGGTGTTGGTGACAGTGGCCCCCTCGAGCCCCAGCAGGTATCTCCGCATCTACCTGGGCAGCTGGGCACACCTGCAGCCAGCAGATATCAGTGGGCACCTTGGGCCATCCCAAGGGGCAGATGACCAGCCCAGGGGGCCTCTGCACAGCCACAGTACCCCAGGGGAAATCTACAGACGGTGGATGGTGACTAGGACTCACGACTGGGAAGAGCAATGGGCAGAGGCAGCATTTCCAAAGGATGGAAACTTGGGGGTCTGGCCAGGCCCAGCAGCCATGTGTCTGGCCAGTCTACCTTTTTAAAGATGAGATGTGCTCAGATAACAATGCAAACCTCACCAGAACCTTGGCCCCTTTTCCTCCTAGTGACCTGCAGCATTTGGGCTGGTGTCTGAGAGATTGCTGAGGCACCTGAACTAACCTGGGCCCGAACTGTGATGGTGGCAGAGTTGACTTTGAGGCTCCCTCTTATCCTTCAAGGCCTAGCTGCAATGCCACCACATCCTAGAAGCCTCCCCTGATGTCCTCAGGCAGAACAGCCTTTCACCCTTTCTGTGTCCATATTGCATCCTCTTCATACTTTTATTCCGATATTTATCACGTGGAATTGCAGTCTTTTCTCCTCTAGGTCTGTCTGTCATTCCTGATGGATAGGAGCTTTTTGAGGGCAAGGCCTGGCCTGCTTGTCTTATCCTTTCCGTGCCTGGCATAGGGCCTGTCCAGGGTGATGCTCCAGGTTTGCCCAATGAGGGAATGAGCAGGTGGATGAATAAATGAGCTCTCCCCTCTCGGGATGGGCTCTGTTTTGCCCCTCCTGCCGTCCCACCTCTCAATTTCAGGTTGAATAAGCTACTCTCTCAGCCTGCTCAGGGCTCAAAGTCCTCAAATTCAAAACGCAAAGCAGGCAGCTGCCCCACCCCTGTAGCCCTGCGCCTCTCAGCTGGCTCTCTTCGGGCGTGTCCCCTGCCACTTTGTGTGGTTCATCCACTACTTGCTGCTGAGACATTAATGCACCTCAGGGGTCAGTGGAGCCCAGTGACCATGCTGGGAACAGAGCAAGGCAATTCCAATTTCATGCCTATATGGGCTTCCCTCTATGAAGACAAAGAGTGGGAACACAGCTTTCTTTTTTAAATATTTCTTCCAGAAAACAGGCAAAGGTATTGTGCAGCAGAGGCTTATGTAGAAATGCTAGCAGGCAGTGAGGGGGCAGGTGGTTCCCATGAGACAGAGCAAGGCTTTGGGGAAAAAGGAAGTAGACAGAGGAGGCAGGGGGTACTCTGTGGTTGTTGGGTGCTAATGCAGCCTGGCTGTTTATACACTGATGATGATCTGAGAGCCTTCAGCAATGGAAAGTCATCTACTTCTGTCTTGCTACCAGCTTGTAAAATGTGGACATACAAATATTTACTGAATAAACAAATAATTTGTTATATTTTTGTTACAGGGTGTTTGTGTGTATGTGTATTATTATTATTATTTTTGAGATAGGGTCTCACTCTGTTGCCCAGGCTGGAGTGCAGTAGTGTGATCATGGCTCACTGCAGCCTCAACTTCCTGGGCTCAAGCAATCCTCCTACCTCAGTCTCCTGAGTAGCTGAGACTACAGATGCATGCTGCCATGCCTGGCTAATTTTTGGATTTTTTTGTAGAGAAGGGGTCCCACCTTGTTGCCCAGGCTGATCTTGAATTCCTGAGCTCAAGCAATCTGTCTGCCTTGGCCTTCCAGAGTGCTAGGATTATAGGCCTGACCCACCATGCCCAGCCATGTTATTTTTGAAAGAGAAATTGCTGCTAGGAGGCACTTGAGCTTCCTAGCTTAAATGAGAGTATGCAATATGGTTCATGGGAAACCAAGATTCTTGAACATCAATTTTAGAATATAGGGTCGTTGCAGATTGCAAAAATGGCTCTAATTTCACTTCCCTCCCTGTTATTGCACACTATAAATGTGACTTTTCAGCTTCTCCCATTAAAATGTGGAATCTGTGTCTCCATCCCTTAAATCTGAGCTGGCTTTAAGACTGCATAAGCCAACAAAATGTAGCAGAATTGCCAGTGTCCAGGTTCCTTTAGACCACCAGAGGCCTGTGTGCTTTGGCACGCTCTCTCTTGCTTCTCTGCCTTCACTGGGCTCTCTTGGCAGGGGATGAGAGAGAGAGCCTCCATGGAGCAAAACTGAGTTGTCCCAGCCAAGGCCACCCTAGACCAGCTGGCCACCAGCTCGCCTCCACTTGACTGAGGATACAAAAATAAGCCCAGCCTAGATCAGCCAAACCTGGCCCAGATCAGCAGCCTATCACCTAATGAGACATAATAAACAGCTGTTACTTTAAGCCACCACATGTTGGGGATGTTTGTTACACAGCATTATTGTGGCAATAGGTAGTTGACCCAAGAGTGATGAGACAGTGTTCCTATTTAATCGGCAGCATTCATCACACTACTTGACTCCTGGTAAGTGATTAGTAAATATCTGTTGAGTGAATTAATGTGCTTTTGGAAGCGCTGATGTAACTATCTTTTCCCAAAATGTACACTAAATCATCCTAATGCTAAGCCTTTGCTCATGCTGTTCTCCTGTCTAGAATATTCTCCTTCGTTTTCTGCCTGGGCAACTTCTATGTTTCCTTCAAAGTTCTGCTCGTAAGTCATCTGTTCTCTCTGGTCTCCTCTGATTCATCCCTCTCACATGGATGCTTCAGCGTCCTGGGCAGGTGCTGGTGCTGAGTGATCATCACAGTTTGACTTCCATTGTTTAGCTGGGTAAATGCTTTCCCCTTCCAGGACTGTGAGCTCCTTGAAAGCAGAGTGTTCTTGCTCATCTCTGTAGCCTGGTGTCTAGCACAGTGCTTGGCTCATAGTAGGTCCTTGGGAGGTGCTGATTCATTCATTTGTCCTTCATTCACTCAACTCAATAATGAGTTATTGAGCCATGTGCCAGGCCCTGATCTAAGTGTGAGGATGCAACAGTGCACAATACAGACGTGGTCCCTGTGCTCATGGGGCTAACATTCTGGCTCAGGGTAGGGGAAGACTGCCAATAAATACATAAGTATGTAGGAAAAGCATAGGGTAATGAGGCATGCCTTGCAGGGAATTAAATCAAGGGTGGCGCCATGGAGAGCGGTGTGGTGGTCAGGTGGGTCTCTGTGAGGCTGTGGGAGTTAAGCTGCCATCCAAATGGCATGGAGGAGCCAGCTCTGCAGAGAAGAGAATTCCAGGGGGAAGGGAAAAGCAGAACGAAGGCCTTAAAGCAGGAGAGGATGTGAAAAATTCAATGAATGGAAAGATGAGTGTAAGTGAAGCAACAGGAGAGAGGGAATGGGGATGAGACAACCTTAGAGGGTCAGGCAGAGCAGAGCATATCCTGGTCACCTTGGAAAGAGCTCGGTTTTGTTTTCTGTGTGATGAGAAGCCAGGGATCTGAGGAGGGTGTTGTGGCATGACAGATTTAAGAGGTTTCCACTGTTGGCTATGCAGGGGCTAGACTGGGGGTGGAGGAGGAAATCTGAAGACCAGATTGGAGGCTGAGGCAGTTTTCCAGGAAAGAGGAAGCTTTGTCTAGGTTGATGGCAGTGGAGAAAAAGAAAAGTGGGTAAATTCTGGACGAGTTTTGAGAGGAAAGCCAACAAGCTGCTGGGTTGGATGTGGAGGAATGAGATAAAAAGATGAATGAAAGATAGCAGTGAAATGTTTGACCCAAGCAACTGGGCTGATGGTACTATTTCTAGAGAATGGGAATGCTGGAGAAGGAGCATGTTTTGGAAGGGAGAACCAAAAACTGGGTTTTGGCCACGTGAGGTTGGAAATGCATATTTGATGTCCAGTGAGGTAGGGGGACAATATTATAAAGTTGGACATCTGAGTCTAGAATTCCAAGGAAAAGTTAGGGAGTCAGAAATTTGAAAGCCAATATGGAAATGAATTGAAATGGTCATTCAGGACCTGACTTGACCAGGGCCAAATGGGCTGTGATAACCACAAGGGGATAGAGCCAATGCTTAATTCCCAGCTTGGCGTGTCTGGCACCTGGAGTTTTTGTAGGCATAGCCCCGATTCCTTATGACGTCTGCACTGTCTGGGAGAGGCACAGATGACTCGGTGATATCTCCCCTGGTTGGAGAGGGAGGAGAAGCCCAGGGCATTCATAAGTAGAGGTGATGAGAACCATTCCTGGTGGGTGATAGAGCCTCCCAGCCCTCCCTCCTCTGGCCAATCAGGCCTGGGTGGAATACATTCATTTCCATGGATGAAATAAATGAATGAATAATTTCCGTTCATTTTATTCCATGGAAATGAATCATTAAATGGGTCCCAGCTTCTCTGTGGCAGATGCAGTGCTCTGAGGTCACCACTCTATTTCCTTTCCCTGGCACACAACAAAACTGCATTTCCCAGCCTCCTTTGCAGTCAGATTGGGCCATATGACTACTCCTGGCCAATGGGGTATGGACAGGGGTGATTTGTCCTCTATTAGGCCTGGGCCTTAATCACATTCTGTGTGATTGTATTAGTTTCCTAATTGCTGCTGTAACAAACTGCCACAAACTTCGTGGCTTAAAAGAATATAGCAAATTTATTCTCTTAGAGTTCTGAAGTCAGAAGTCTGAAATGAGTCTCATGGGCCAAACACGTTGGCCGGGCCAGTTTCTTCTGGAAACTCAAGGGGGAAAATCTGTTTGCTTACCCCATTTGGCTTCTAGAGCCTGCCTGCATTCCTTGGCTTCTGGCCCCTTCCTTGCATGACTCCCATCTCTTGCTGCTACCATCACATCTCCTTCTACTGCCTTTTACCTTCTTGCCTCCCTCTTATAAAGATGATTGAGCCCACCTGGATAAACCAGGCTGATATTTGCATCTCTAGATGCTTAATTTGATCACACGGGCAAAATCCCTTTTGCCATAGAAGGTAACATATCCACAGGTTCTAGGGATTAGGATATGGACATCTTTGGTGAAAGGGCATTATTCTGCCTACCACAGCCCTCTCTTTCTCTCCCCTGGAAATTCTGGAAGCCACATGCTCCGTGTGATGTAGCGACAAGATGGAACCAATCTGCTTAACCTGCCTGGGCTTCTCATGAGCCCCAAATAAATATTTATTGTTGTGTTAGGCTGTTCTTGCATTGCTATCAAGAAATTCCTGAGACTGGGTAATTTGTAAAGGAAAGGGGTGTAATCGTCTCATGGTTCTGCAGTCTGTACAGGAAGCATGGTGCCAGCATCTGCTTGGCTTCTGGGGAGGCCTCAGGGAGCTTTTACTTGTGGCAGGAAGGAAAGCAGGAACGGTCATGTCACACGGCAAAAGCAGGAGCAAGAGAGAGAGTCAGTGGGGAGTGGGGAGGGGCTACACACTTTTAAACAACCAGATCTCACCGGAACTCACTCACTCATCACCAAGGGGATGCCATTCATGAGGGATCTGCCCACTTCCAACACTCGGGATTATATTTCACCATGAAATTCAGTGGAGACACGGGTTCAAACCACATCAATTGTATTAAGGCAGTAAGACTCTGGGATCAATGTGTTACTGCAGCAGGGTCTGTCCTCTCCAGACCGATGCCCGTCTTCCATGGGCTCTTCTTGGTGAATCCCAAGTCTTGACCATGGCTCAGAGAGGTGAACCCCACCCCTCTCCAAAGACTCCAAGTCCTTCTCTCCAAGTTAATGGCTGAATGGCATGATGAATCTTGTAGTGGTTCAGTAGGAAGTTCTGAGAAAACTCTACCACTGACATGTATGTGAACTTGACTGATGTCAGCCTTGGCCACGTGACTTGCTTTGGCTAAAGAAGTGTTCATGGACATAACACAGGCGGAGGCCTTCAATGTGCTTGAACAGTTTGAGTTTCTTCTTGAACACTGATGATCTACCATAAGAGGATCAAATTTTAGGTAGTCACTTCCCTTTTAGTGTGGGCCCCAGACAAACACCCGTGGAACAAACCAACCCATGGAGGAGGCCTGAACTCAACCCACAGCTTGGAGTCCAGCCCAGTTGACCTGCTGCCTGAAGCAGAATTGACCAGCTGAGCCCAGACTAGATCAGCTGAACCACTTCAACCTGAATGTGAACATAATCACAAGTGCTTGCTGTTGCATGCCTTGAGGTTTGGGTTGGTTTGTTACACAGTATTATTATGGCAATAGTTGACTATTACACAGCCCTGAGGAAGCTTGGATTTCCCAAGTCTCTGGCCACATTCCACACTTGGTAACTAGGACTTGAGTGAGACAGTGAGCCCCACGTCCACGTTCATTTGGGAAGGGCATGCCTTCCATCTCCCTTACCATTTCCCCTTGGTGCCTGTCCCGCACTGGATGCCAGGAGGAGGGACCCCGTTGCTGCTACTGAACAAATAAAGAATGCAGAGCCACAAACTAAGGTGGGGAAAATTGTT